CCATGCCCAGCTAATTTTTTGTAGTTTTAGTAGAGACGGGGTTTCACCATGTTGACCAGGATGGTCTCGATCTCTTGACCTCGTGATCCACCCGCCTCGGCCTCCCAAAGTACTGCAGGCTTAAGCCACCGCGCCCGGCCGACGTTTGGATTTTTTTGTTTTTTTTGTTTTGTTTTTACTTTTAAGCTTATTAATAATGCTGCTGTGAATATTCATTTAAAGGTTTTTGTGTGAACACATGTTTTTAATTTTCAGATATATATCTAGTTGTGGAATTTCTAGGTCAGTTTGTGTAGTTTGTTTTTGAAAGTTCATCTTGCTTTAAAGTAAATACCCTCATTTGATTTTTATGGCTCTAGAAGACTTGGCTTTTGGCATAAATTAGCTATCCCTGATACAAACAGATTTGCCAAAGTAAAAACACGTCAATAGTGGAAGTTTTCCAATGTTGTTTTAAATCATGCTTTTAAAAATCAAAGAAAACTGAGCCAGGCTTGGCACCGTGTGCCTGTAGTCCAAGCTATGGGAGTGAGTCCCGTATAGCTCCTGCCTTAGGAAGCTGAAGCAGGAGGATGGCTTGAGCCCAGGAGTTTGAGGCTGCAGTGAACTAAGATCTCACCACTGCATTCTAGCCTGGGTAACAAAGTGAGACCCTGTCTAAAACTCTGCCAATATCATGTCAAGCCTTTTTTTTTTTTTTTTTTTTTTTTTTTTGGAGACAGAGTCTCACTGTCACCCAGGCTGGAGCACAGTGGTACTATCTTGGCTCACTGCAGCCTCTGCCTCCTGGGTGTAAGCAATTCACCTGCCTCAGTCTCCTGAGTAGCTGGGACTACAGGCGTGACAGGCATGTGCCACCACGCACAGCTAACTTTTGTATTTTTAATAGAGACGGTTGGCCAGGATGGTCTCGGGTGGATTACCTCAGGTCAGGTGTTCAAGACCAGCCTGGCCAACATGGTAAACCCCGTCTCTACTAACAATACAAAAATTAGCTAGGTATGGTGGTACGCACCTATAATCCCAGCTGCTCGGGAGACTGAGGTACAAAAATCTCTGGAACCCAGGAGGCGGAGGTTGCAGTGATCTGAGATCATGCCATTGCACTCCAGTCTGGGTGACAAGAGCTAAACTCCATCT